CATTGAAAGTCACGTCAGAAATATACACGCCATGATTTTGTCTCACTCACCTGCTGAAGATCAATTTATCACTGGTCCACGATAAGTCAAATCACCGGATGGAAATTGGGAAGGATATAAAGGGTATTCCCGGTTTGCGAATTAGAGCATTAATCATGAAAATATCTGGCTAGGCTAGCCATAGGTCGGTCGAAGAACAATGTTTAATCGGTAATCGCCATGACATGATCTGCTTGAGACAAAATTTCTTCATTGATCCGGGCCATTCAAAGTGTTTGCTTTACAGGTATTTCAATTGAAAACCAACAAATTTCTTGACCTTTTTTTCTCAGACATCATATGTTTTTGCTAGCAAAATAGGAGAAGAATAATAACTTTTCGGCCCGATGTCAACACTTTTATCACAAAATGTTAAGGGGATTTGAAATTTCGCTTTCCTCTTCAAATCCTTGTGAAAATGCGATGCAGGGGAAGCTTGTACTTGTAGACGGGAGGATTTTGCATTGGAGTACGTAGACCGAGGATTGGGCCAAAAAAAAAATAAAAGCATATAATTTGGGCCTTGAAGTTATTGCATGGCATGGCAACCCAATAGGGCAAAGCCCTGCATGTTTGGTGTTTGCATGACGAGATATAACAATATTATCTAATTTTACATTGATTTATCTCTTAAAGAATGAGAATCATGAGATAAGATTAAACTTTATCTTATTCCACCACTTATCTCTATGTATGTGAGGATTTATTGCAGATGTTGAGATTGCTTCTAGTCTTTTATCTTTAGCCCTGCTCTTGGCTATGTACATCTAAGTGGTAGAGTTTGAACCATTTTTTCTGTATTAAAAGAAATAGAAAAGCCCCATTTATTCAAATTTGAAAGAGAGTACAATTATACAATTTTGAGCACTTCTGTACTAGACTGAAAGTTGAATCAATAATGGCATGAACAAACGCATAGGCAAAGTTTCATTCATGGCCAAAGGAGAATCCTTTGACTAAGTCCCTTGTTTCTTGTCAAAGAAACCAAGGCCATGCAAATGAAAATAAATAGACAATAATTTGGAACGGGCCAGGGTTATCAAACCCACCAAACCAGGGGTTCTCTCTGCTCATGCTACAATCAAGTGACTGGGCCTCTATTTGATTGCTGTTGCACGATTCCCTGGCGTTTTGGTCCCATTGGCATTAGGGTCCCTACTATTAGGTACGTAATTTCACTGAAACCTAACCTTTTCTTGGCTGCCTCTTTTCTTTCTTTCGATTTAAGGTCCACAAATACACGACCAAACCTGTTATACAGCTGTTGGCTACATCTCCAATTATAAGAAGCCAACAAATTTTCTTGTGGACTGCACATTGATTCAACCACCATTTTCCTTTTTTGTTGTTGTCGTAAACATTCTGTGGTTTACATTCCATTGTTCCAAGCCCCAATCATTTGAGTCTTATTAATCAGATTGATTGTAGTAGGAAAAACAGATAAAACCAATCTCGATGCTTAACGTCTTTGTATTTTGTAGCTTCAAAGGTGGCTTCAAAGCTTAGCAAGTCTTTAATGGTTTAAGGCCTTTTGAGACATTGATTCTTTCATTTCATTCTTTATTGAAGGAAAAAGGGTTTGCATTCTGTGTACGAGATTCATTTGCAAATCACTATCTAAAACAAACCCAGCAGAAATGTTTTGTCCAGCATAATCCCACCGAAGTCCAATTCAAGGGAGGGTGTTGATTTTGAAAGCTTGCATCAACCTGAACAATGAGCTGTCCCACCAATGCTATGGTAAAAAAGTTGGTATCTTGTTGTCTCGGGGGCCCATGTGATCACGGTTGGGCTTCCAAACCGGTGAAGTTGACACCTACAGCGCGCACACACCAAAAAATGAAAAAAGTATTGTTTATTTGGACGCCATCTTGAAGGAGTTTGATAATGCAATTGCAATCTATATTTGATCAAATCCCCACATTTGACTTCAATATTTACATTTTATAATCTTTTGAATCAAGTAATCATTGGACAATTGGAACTTATTAAAACCAAATCAAAACGATTATATTCACTCTTTCGATTGAAGCAAATATGAAGAAGTTTTATTTGTTGCATAAATTAGTGAATACCTTTTACTATAATCTATCCAGCCGTTTATCTTTGCCTTGGCAAAGAGGATAGCTACCCGAACAAGTGTACAGATTTCTTTTCTGATAAGATATAGAAGCATTACTATATTGGCAGTCGGCTAAGACTTCTTTAATCACTATTATTAGTTTAATCAATATGTTGTAAAAGATCTTAATCAAGATATAAAGAATATATATGTATGTAACTAGTTAAGCCTGGCTGGAATCTCACAAGCATTTTTTAAAACCCATTGTGCTTACCTACCAAATAATGCATTGTCCTAAGTACAAAAGATAGTTATGTTCATGTCATATTTTAAAGTAAGTATTCTTTTTTTCTGCCGATGATGGTCAATGAAAATGTTGTGTCACATCCAAGTGTGCGCCTCCTCTCACTTAGATTCAATATATTTGTTTGTCCTTGTATTTACCCACAAAGCTTGGATTGAAGGTGACTAGAGTATCGGCCATCACCTGGAAAGTCTAGAAGGGAAGATATTATTTTGTTGGGCTGCAGTTAGAAAAGAGGTGAGGAAGCCATCAGAAGAGAGGGCCTCAAATTTAAGGCTTTGAGGCCCCCATTTACACCACACAAAAATAAAAACAAAAAACCATGGGCCATTGGGGATCTCTCATTTTCGGTTGGTCAGCCTTTTGAGAGAACGCAAGAACGGAACCCCAAACAGTTTGTTGGTTTGTAGGCAACCACTTGGGTCCCTTGTGACTGCCAGGCATGGCAGCCATGGAACCCTGCGTTGTATCCATGGTTAGGGAAAAACCCAACCAAAAACGTAGAGCTAGCAGCGTCGTATTAAATGCATAAACCTCAATTGGTTTAACCCAAATTTCGGTGCAAGTATTTCATTCCATTAAGACAGACCGTACACTAAGTACATCACTGGTTAAGTAGAGCGTCATTATTGTCGACATTTAACTAAAAAAACAAGTCTCACCTAATCGATCCACCCTAGGGTTTAAGCCAATAAAGCTCGCACGCAATTTAATAAATACTCGAATTTGAGTCCGTTATTTTCAAGTCAAGCTCTAGTTATTTAAATATTGAACTCAGCCGAGTTAAAACATTTATTTATAAATTTAAAAATTTTATTTAAAATTTAATTCAAATTTTTAATTCGATAATAAATTAATAATAATAAAAAAAACCGACTTCAAATAACTTAATTATATTTATACCGAACTCAAGTACAAAAGACTGAAACTGGACCGAGTTCGAGTCGAGCCTCGAGTTTTTTACAAGCGAGCTCAAGCGTGAAATATATCGACTCAACTCGGCTGGTTTGCACCCGTGGTCAACACTAAGGACAAACTTCTGATATTTGCCTGTTCGGGCCTTTTTTATGGCTAGGGAGCGCCATTGAGACCTTTAAGGACAAGCATGTACAGTAGGAGTACAATAATACAGACGAATAAATGGTAGCCTCAGTATGCAGTGTCGTCTATCTCTTAAGAAGAATGACCTAACCAATTAGGGCAAAAACAGTTGATTAAGAGATTGGTTTAGTTAGCAAGTGAATATACCCTTTATTAATTATACTAATTTTTATAACAAAAAGTAATTATAAAAAGTAGGATAATGGAGGTCATGCTCTGTTTTACAATTGGTGGCTAAATTCATCGGTTTTCTTGGATTAAATGCCATGTCAATTCTTGCGTGACGCCTTTAGTTTCTCCCTTGTGCTTCCTCGGGTTTCTTTCCCTGAGCTGTTGCCTCTTGCTTCAAGCATTTGCACAGAAAAATTTCTGCTAAAAGGTTTTTCTTGTGGATTGAGCTTTTGTGTCAACCAAGGAGTCTCTAGTTTTGACTGTGTGAGCTCAAAAACATTGACTAGCAATAGATAAAAATTAGGACAAACCCCACAAACATATATTTTTCTTCAATTTTCTTCGCCTCTTTCCCTTTTCAATGTCATCGATTTGGCCAAACGTAATCTCACATGAGGATGATTATATCAAAGATATGATTTCCCTTGTCAAGCATGCGTTTGCTTGGTCTCACCAATTAGGCATGCCTAAGCAATAATTATAAGGGGTTTGGCCAAGAAGCTTTGGCTTTGACAACGAAACTTGGCTTTCCTTCTGCTGCAAGATCCCACGATAAAATACTGTAACTCATATTATTTAATGACAGCCAAGCCTCAAAAGAAAGATGTGTATGAAGAAAATATGAACACTCACCCACGGCTCAATGGGGTTCAGAGCACTCAAAAGAGCCGTACAACAATTTCCACTGCCACAATAGTGAATCAATCATGGGCACAAATTCCATGGTCCCACTTAAGGGTTATCAGAAGCTTAGTAAGAAAAGAATGTATGTCACATTAATCACCAACGATCTCATTGGCTGATGTCAATTCATGCTGTATCTTAATGTATTTTTGGTCACAAAAAGAATGGTTTATTTCGATTTGGAGCTACGACAATAAATTTATATAAGCAATTTCGGTCAAACTTGACATTTGTTTCAAGTTGTACATCCTTGTATGCTTTTATCTTGTTTTGATTATGGATTTATATTCTAATTAATAGGCGACAAATCAAAATGGTTATTCCATTTTTATATTATTTTTAAGCAAATATGACAAGTGTCTTAAATTTCAAGTAAAAATTTGGCATAATGCTGATAATACATGTTGTATTTATATGAATCGAATTACTTTTGAGTACAAATTGTAATGAGGGAGGGGTTGACCAAAAGGATTAGAGAGTTGAAGTAAACGACAACCTATCCTATAAACTTGAGAGTCAATGAACTTCAAATTGGGAAAGGCAAAGCAGAAAAGGTCCCGATTGTAATCGATGATGATAACGTGAGTCAGCGGACTTAGTAGCATATAATTAGTAAGCTGAAAAATGATTAACATTTATGCAGATCTGATGGTTGCAGATAGGCAATGTGTTAGAGCAGAAAGAGAGGGGGGAGGGGGGAGCATTAATGATGGAATGTAGAGATCGCTATAAAAATTTTGCATCATTCTTTTGTCACGGAAATGCTGGAGAAATCTTTGGCAAAGGCAGTCTCCTATTCCTTCCCCACCGTTCCTTGAAAACGTATCAATCAGTCCCACGACGACAACACTACAACAGTTGCCCTCCTGCCTGCTGGTTTCCCAGAACTGGAATGGTAAATGACCAAATCAACCCTCTCCCTATCCTCTCCAGCTCTTCCCCCTTCCCTCTATCCGTCTTGTCACCATCCTTAGGCCTCATTTGTGCAGCTCGCAGCCCCACGCCTCCCACCCCGCTCTCTTCCTCTCTCACTTTTGGATTTAATTTTATCAAACACTCTTTCACTTTCACCAAACCCCCTCTTTCAGTCCACCCCATTGCCCCCCACTCCCTTTCTCTCTCTTTGTTTGCTAACTTGCGCCTATAAAAAAGACGGAAGAGCAGGAATTTTATACAACTGAGCTTCTCTCTCTGTTTCCCTCTCTCGTATTCTATTGTTCGATGCTACCTTGTGCCATTACAATAGTGAAAAACAACAAGGAAAAAAAGGGGAAACAAGAAAACCTTAAAAGGCCAGTCTTTTTACTCTCTACATTTCCTTGCCATCTGCTAAGTTTTGCATCTTCATAACAGAACTGAAACAGAACAGAGGGCAAACAACGAAACCTCTTTTTTCTCTTCTGTCTTCCTCTTACACAACCAGAACATCCAAGAATCAAATAGAAAAGCTTCAATCTCAAAACCAAGGTTCTATTGCACCAGAGCGACGTCTTTTTTTTTTTATTTTTTATCTTCCATGGGTCTGCTAATTCTCTTCCTGCTAACGTGCGCTGCACTTCCATTAGCTTCATCAGATCCAAACGACGAGGCTTGCTTGACTCACTTAAGCGAATCCTTGAAAGACCCGTTAAAGAACCTGCAAAACTGGACCAAATCCACCTTTGCAAACCCTTGCAGCGGTTTCACCTCTTATCTCCCTGGTGCAATTTGTAACAATGGTCGAATCTACAAGCTTTCCCTTACAAACCTCTCTCTCCAAGGCTCTATCTCACCTTTTCTCTCGAACTGTACCAATCTTCAGTCTCTCGACTTATCTTCAAACTCCTTCTCAGGTCCTATCCCACAAGATTTACAATATTTGGTGAACCTGGCAGTGTTGAATCTTTCATCAAATCGTCTTGAAGGAGAGATCCCTCCACAGCTTACATTATGTGCTTATTTAAATGTCATTGATCTTCATGACAATTTACTTACTGGTCAGATTCCTCAACAATTAGGCCTTCTAGCAAGGCTGTCAGCTTTTGATGTTTCTTACAACAAGCTTTCAGGGCCTATACCAGCATATTTAGGGAACAGAAGTGGGAATTTACCAAGGTTCAATGCTAGTTCTTTCGAAGGAAATAAGGATCTTTATGGATACCCTTTACCACCTATGAAAAGTAAAGGGTTGTCGGTTTTGGCCATTGTTGGGATCGGATTGGGAAGTGGACTTGCTAGTTTGGTGCTTAGTTTTACTGGAGTTTGTATCTGGTTGAAGATTACAGAGCAAAAGATGGCTGCCGAAGAAGGGAAGAGTAGTCAGTTTATGCCTGAGTATTAAAAGCTTGAATTTTGATTTAACATGTTATTGAAGATTATTGAGCTAGAATGAAAAGATTGAAATTTCAGGTATGTTATTTTTTCTTTTTCTTCTCAATTTTAGTGAGGTTTGGGCTAATCTTATTCAGAGAAGTTGTCTTTTACAGATTTTTTCGGGGAGAGTTTCCTTCTTTTTCCTTTTTTTGCTTAACTATTTTGGGGGTTTTCTTCTTCTTCTTTTTTGGGATTCTCTATATATTTATTCACGACAATCATCGACAATGTATAAAGCAATTCAAACATGAGCCTTTTTTCAGTGAAATAGTGCAGTTTTCTTGTATTCTTTCTTTTTCTCTCCTTATCTTTTTCATTCATTAATGTAAATGAATTATTTGCTGTTCTTTTTTTCTTTAGTCTGCATAGAGCGCAGACTCTGTGGGGATGAATGAAAGAACTGCGCCGTGGAATTTTGTCTGCTGGTGGCGATAGCTAAACCCCCCCAAAAAATATTATTATGGATGTAGAAAATAGTGGTGGGCACTTGGGGTCTTTGTAAAAATCCTCAAACTCGGTGCATTTATTAAAAATGCGCTTTACCTACTTGGGTTTGCTGTGTTGTGCTTTGCTAATGTGAGCTGGTGGGAGACCAGCACCAGCATCACATGCTGTGTAACTTGTCTACTTCTTACAACATAAAAATAAAGAGAGCTTTAATTAACTCTATGCTTTGGCCTTTTGGCTTTGGTCAAGCGAACATTCCGGACAGTAATTTTGGGTTCAAAGGTTTAGGTCTCTGTGGGTGCATCTAAAAGGATAAATCATGTTTAACTACTAATAATTGTTGTGTTACTTTTATTGGACAGCCCATGTTTGCCTTGATGATTAACATTGATTCAAATGAAAATTGGCAAAAGGAATTTCCTTTCTTTCTTTTTTTATTCTTTTCTTTCTAACATCTGATTTGAGTAAAAAGGAGGATTGCTTAAACATTGATCAAGTGGTTTGCATTATTATAATATGTGGGGTTTATTTGTTCTAGCCTTCTATGCAACTGGGGTTTTGTTTTCTTTCTTTCTACATTCATTGTGTTTCGCTTTTAGGTTAAACAATCTAGAGTTCTAGCCTTCTAGTATTTGTTTAAGTTTCTCCAAGATAACGTTGCTTTCTTTAGTGGCAATAAAAAACAGGTAGTGATTCCTAGGTGGTGTTAACCTTTTTCTCTTCATTCTTTAATATTTGAAGCTATGCATGATTCAATGTGCCTAGCCTCGGCTCAAAATTGACCTTTTTTTTTCCTTGATTCGAAATGGGTTATTACACTTCATCTCAAGTTTAAATTTATGAATTCAGTTCAAAATTATGGTAACAATTAGGTGTAAACTGTCATCCAGGATTATTTTAAGCAGAAAATCCAATGTACAGCTTGTTGCTTTTGGTAAGTGCGACCCAACAACCATGGTGAAAAGAACAAAGAATGGACCCCATTGTTAACGTTCATGGTGTGCATTAGAGTCCTTAAACTGCGCGATAAACAGGAAACCAAACCTAAAGAAACAGGGGAAAGGAGATGGAGAAAAACATCCTATTCCAAAATTATGGGGAAAAAAAAAAACATTAACAAAGCATCCTTAGCGAAACCGAATTAGACAAAGATCTAGTGACTGTATAATGAAATTTTTTTTTTCTTTTGTCTTTTTAAGGTTCACTCAGCAAAAGCCAATTTTAACCAAAGCCAGACCCACAATTGTCTCCAAGCCCCAAACTACTCGAGTTGCTTTGAATTGAATGGAAGGCTGTGATTGCAGAAACTTCAAGTCACACCGAAAGCAGGAGATGGTCAAATGTGCTTTGATTCCTCTCATTAATGGGTCTTCCAGGAATGGCATGCATGTCATCATGGGCTGGACCCCATCTGTTAAATTGTTTATGTTGTTGGCTGAAAGAAGAAGAAGAAGAAGCAGAAGGAGAAAGAAAAAGTTAGTCTGGGACATTTTCTTTTTTTTTTTGGGTGTTTTTTTATTGATTCATCTGATTGTGATCCGAACCATTCCTTCTTCATTCCTGTAATTGATTTAGAGTCACAAGGGTTGGGGTTTTGCTTTCAATGCCATTCACGCACTTTAATAATTTTTTATGCTCTTTTTTAGTTGGTCCATGCCAACATCTTTTAATTTGTTGACACCCCCCGATCAGGTTACAAGCAACCAAAGTTGGACCATGTAATCAAGTTTAGTCAATGACTCTTTGATGATTTAGTTGAATGAAGGACGTTGAAATTTGACAAGTTCTTAATTTCAATCTCTATAATCAGATTAAAGCATGTTGATTCGATTATTTTTTAAAAAAAAACTTAAATTTAAGTTTTTAATAATGATTAATTTAAAATATTATATAAATTTTAATAATTACATTCACATGTGATATGAAATAAAATATCACATTTCATGAATTATTAATAGATGCATAAAATTAAAAAGATTGAACACTGTAAATAAGTTTTAAAAAATACATTTGTCTTGTATGGCTTGGATCTCAAAACAACTTAATAAAACAGGGAAAAAAAATCATATAGCTGAAATTTGGAACTTTAACCAATTGATGACAAGGCAATTGAGCTTAATCACATATTCAATGAGATATATTAAGTTATTAGTTTTTATTTTTAATTTACAAATTCCACGAAATTTGTTTGAAGAACTCTATTTAAATAACGGGAATGTGTGTGCATTTTTTTGGTTCGGTTTCTAGTAATTAATTTTTGTAACCATTTATATGATTGGAATTTCATAGTTCATGATAATGAATGTATAATAATACGGAATATTATTTGTATAATAAATTTAAAGGGAGGATCACCCTTTATTTTTTTTTTCTACTGGGTCAGATCAATTAGTCCAACTCCAATCCAATCTGTCTCATTCTATTGGGCTGAGTTTTAGGAATTTAATTTTAAGCCCCTTCCTCTCTGAAAGAGTCTGAATGGATCCTTTCCATCCGATCCATAACCCGACCCGCTTTTTCCCCATCTTCACAGATCAACGTCGCTCTCTATCCCCATCTAAAACCCTACTCGCTCTTCCCTCTTTCTCCAAAAGCCCTAATTTTAGAGCCGACGATTCTCAATTTCTGATCGGCGAAGCTAAAATCCTCCATCCAAATGGCTAAAAAGAACAAACAGAAACCTCCTCAAGACCCCAAACCCAACCAAGAAGAAAAAGAGCAAAAACAGCATGAAAAAGACAAGGAAGAAGAAGCAGAAGAGCAAGAAGAGAAAAGCTTCGAAGAATTAGGCCTCGACCATCGATTAATCCGCGCTCTTCTTAAGAAAGGCGTCGACAAGCCTTTTCCTATACAACGTGTTGCAATCCCTCTTGTTCTGGTAAGTTAAATTACCTTTAATCATTGCTTAATTATTGGTATATTTTATTGATTAATGGTTAATTACTTTCAAAATGGACGTGTCATTAGCAAGGCAAAGACGTGGTAGCTCAAGCCCGAACAGGTACTGGCAAAACCTTTGCCTATCTTCTCCCTTTGCTTCACAAGCTGTTCCCTTCGGATTCCGGTTCCAAGGCTCGGCTTGCTCCAGCCGGGTTCATTCTCGTCCCCTCACGTGAATTATGTCAGCAGGCACGCATTTTTACTTTGATTCCTTTTGGTTGTTGAAATGCATTTGATGTAAAAGCAAATAACTTTTTGAAGAATGGGAAATTATAAATTTGACTTTTGGTGAATAGCAAATAACCAGTAATGAATAGCGATAACTGGAACAGAGGTTTATTAATTAGATTTTGAGTATTGTATTTTGAGTATTTATAAATTTGGTTTTCAGGTTTATAAAGAAGCTGTTTCATTGATTGAGTTATGTAGAGTTCAATTGAAAATTGTGCAGTTGACTAGCGGCATGCCAGCTTCTGATTTGGTTGGTTGCATTATTGATATATCATATTTGTTTTTTGTAATGCTTTTAGTAAATTGAACCTGATTTCCTGATTTTGTTTCTTTTTCTTGTATTGTTAAAATTACTTGCAGCGAGCTGCATTGGCAGGGCCTCCGGATGTTCTGGTAACTACACCAAAGTGCATAAGGGATTGCTTGTCTGCTGGATTACTTCAGCCGACTTCCATCAGTGAATCACTTGAAATTCTTGTCCTAGATGAGGTAAGCATTTGAGTTCAATTTAGAGCAACTTCCTTAAGTTGGATTCATGTAGCTATTTTTAGCTTAGGTGAATTTATGATTTGAACAACCATAATATTATGTATTAATTTATAATTTGTGAACTGCCCCTCAAACATGTTAATTATATTCTTAAAGAGGCCACTGATAGATATTTGTTTTCAGGCAGATCTTTTATTGCAATTTGGCTTTGGAGATGATCTTAAAGCTCTTACACCTGTCATTCCTAGACGTTGTCAATGCCTTCTTATGTCTGCAACCTCAAGGTGTGTAATAAATTTAAGCTTTTATATTTCTTTTAAACTGGGTTATGACATTTGTGGGAATTGTTTTCATTGTCATTCACGTTCCTGATATGATAGCCACTGATTTATTGCCTTGTGCACCATCCTCTTATTTATATTCTGTTTTGATGATTATATGCTTGTGACAGTCACTGGGCATATAAAATACAAACTTGCATTTTAAAATGTTCTATACTTCTTTTGCCATTAAGATTGCCAATCCCTGCTGATCAATCTATTGTGGCATTCGATAATTGGCAGCCCTGATGTTGACCAACTGAAGAAGCTGATTTTGCACAATCCATTTGTTTTGACATTGTCAGAGGTAGAAGATGTCAAGCATGAGGTTATTTCAAAAAATGTTCAACAATTTTGGGTAAGAATCTGTATGTCTATCTTAGGAAATTGTGAGGCTATTGCATCTAATTGGTTGATTTTTTCTCTAATTCCAGAACTATAATTTTCCTAAATCATTTTTCCACGAGGACAGGTTTAAGATATTATAAAAGTTATTTGTAGTTTGAGTAATAAGCTTCCTGACCCCTTTTCCTGATCTTTTATGTTCTTTAGGTTTCGTGCTGTGCAAGTGACAAGTTACTTTATATTCTTGCCCTCCTAAAGTTAGAGTTGGTGCTGAAGAAAGTTTTGATTTTTACTAATACTATTGATGCTGGTTTCAGATTGAAACTATTCTTTGAAAAGGTATTCTGTCACCATCTTGACACTTCTCTCTCCCTGTCTCTTCACTAGTTAATTTATTTGTTTTTTGCATGTTGCATGCCTTTCATGTGATTGCCATGAAATTGTAAGTAATGCCCAACTTGCATAGTTAAAGTATGTCATGTGAGCTATGTAGATTCATATGTTTCATTGCATATAAACACTATCGTAGACCTAGTTTGAACATGTTTAATTTGATGCATTCCATGGAAATTACTGTGTTTATGACATAATGGTACTATTTTAGTATATTAAGCTCACTTTATAATGTCGGTTATCAATTTTTGCTACAGAAGCACTTTTTAAACTCTACTTGCTCTGTTTTCCCTATTAAGTTGAACAACCTGTACTCTTGAGTTCATTTATCCAATTATCCTATTTCTCATGATGTTGTTTAATGTGGGCAGTTTGGAATCAAGTCTGCTATCTTGAATGCTGAGTTGCCCCATAACTCTCGTATCCATATCCTGGAGGTATGCAGAGTAGTCCTGTTTCAAATGAATTTTTTCGTATATAGAGTTTTAATTTTAAGTGGGCAAAAAAAACAATATTTCTTATGTATGTATGCATCTATATTGGAAGGCTGGAGCTGAAAGATGAAAATTTTGACAATAATATTTGCTGTGTCTGTTGTGGTTGTTTACCTGACTAATATCCAATAACAATGGTAAGATTAGCTGCTTACTACCTTTGTTTTGCTTGCTTTCGTCAGGAATTCAATGCTGGGCTTTTTGATTATTTGATTGTGACTGATGACAGCCAAACAAAAGAGAAGGAACAAGCCAATGGGGACAAACATGTGGCCTCAAGGAAGTCTAGAAAGTATCTTAAGCCAAAACTAGACCATGAGTTTGGTGTTGTGAGGGGAATTGACTTCAAAAATGTGCACACGGTAGGCCAATGGCAAAAGAGATATTTAATCAATTCTTAGCTAAGCTTCAAAATTGTTGGTTTATGGTCAATTGAAATTGTATTAGGATAAGTTTTTATTTATGATCTGCTGGGTACTATTGTCACTGGTGTTTGGACTCAAGGTGGAGTTTATTTTTAGCTTTTGCTTTTTCAGATTTTGATTTTATTGTTGTTTCCATGTTTCTTTCTGGCACAGGTTATAAATTTTGATATGCCTTCAAGTGCTTCAGGATATGTTCATCGTATTGGACGCACTGGAAGGGCATACAGTGCCGGTGCTTCTGTATCTCTTGTGAGTTTGTCTGACAAAGTTAGGAATAACTTTTATAGGGGCCACAATGTTTGCTGATGGCTCTCATAAATGACGGCACATATGACTATATTCTGCACTGCCCTCCTTACTATTTTCCACACCTTTTATATTTGGCATGGGAACAGTGTATTTTCTGATGTCATGTCATTCACTTTGGCTTGATTAAAGAACCCTTATAGTTTATGTTTATAGGCTAGGTGCATCTGATTATGATGAGCTTGATGTCAAATTTCATTAATGATTGTAGCAGAATACATTCTTTTCTGCTTACATGGTTCTTGTAGCTCTTGCCAATCTAATCCTTCTTTCTTTAATAGGTTTCTCCAGATGAGATGGAAATTTTTGATGAAATTAAATCCTTATTGGGTGAAGAAGAAAATGATAACACAAATATTATTGCACCATTTTCATTGTTGACCAAGGATGCAGTGGAGTCTTTACGATATAGGGCCGAGGTGATATTATTTTCTTTGTATTAGTGTCAAATTTATGTTTTTTTAATTATTATGTTCTATGTTAATGATGGTCCAACAGTTAAAATTTTCAGCTTTGACATTTTCATAATTTTATAAATTCATGGTTTCTTTTATAAATTCGGGTGGACAGCTTCATTGTAGTGCAAGTTGTTTAAGTGCTAAATGGTTGATAGATTAGTGCACATTGCTTATTTTGAAGGCGGATTCTTGCAGGACGTGGCAAGGAGTGTGACAAGAATTGCTGTTAGAGAATTACGAGCTAAGGATTTAAGGAATGAAATTCTCAACT